TGAGTAGAGGGGAAGGATCACCCACCTCCAACCTGCTAGCAATACTTTGTCTAATGCAGCCCAGGGTACCATTAGCCTCCTTTGCCACATCGCTGGCTCATGTTCAATTTTGTGTCCACCAGGATCCCCAGGTCCTCTTCTGCAAAGCTGCTTTCCAGTCAGTTGGTCCCAGAGTATACTGATGCCTGGGATTGTTCCTTCCCAAGGGCAGGACTTTGCACTTCCCCTTGTTGAACTTCATGAGGTCCCTGTCAGCCCATTTCTTCAGCCTGTGGAGGTCCCTCTGGATGGCAGCATAACTCTCTGGTATATCAGAGGACGAATCCAGGGCAAATCCAGTCTCCTCAATAAAACAGAGAGAGACTGCTTGAGGTTTATATGGAATGCAAGATTCACCAAATCTAGGGCCAAAATTGAAATTATATTTTAAGATAGCCTAGAGGGGAAGAAAAAAACAAAAGCCACAAAACATTAGAAATCATAAAAATGTAAACAGTTCAAACTCTCAGAAATAGAGATAATTGGTAACTCTTTGCTTGATATTCTAGATTTTGACAGCTCAAAGAACTGTTATGCTACAGTCTTGCACCAACAGATGAAATGAAATAAGTGTAATCAAATACTTTCCTTCTGCTTGCTATACATGTGATTTTATAAACTTGACACTGCAAAGAACATTTTTGTGGTTATGCCAAATTCTAATGCTTGCCTTTCAAATTTTTGACCTTTAGCAGTGAGGTACAAAGAGCCATTGCCTGCATCACAGATTTGTGGTACGGTGTCTTTCAGAAAAACTGATGTATTAGCAGGGGCAGTGCTGATGCTGTCCATAGTGAGGCCATGATGCTACATCAGTTAGAAAAAATGGAGGAAAACTGACCTGTTTGTGTGGGAAGGAAACTGAAATGGCAATTTTGGGAAAAGGATTTGAAATGTGCTGATACTTGCCTGGAATGTGAATGCTGTGTGGCTTCTGACGTGCCACAGCCAAACCCCAGCAAGCGGCACGATCTGCCATTCTGCTGGGAGCAGCACCCCTGCACTCAGCATATGGCAGCCTTCTAGCATAATTTTTTAAATGATAGCTTGCAAAAAAAGATTGTAAAGATCCCTGTTAAAGCAAATAGAGAAAATGCAAGCATACAGTCAACTTGGTATCCTGTCAAAAGAATTACTGGTGGTACATTATGGGCAGAGGAAGTTCAAGCTACCAAAACCAAAATCTAGGTCAGATAGCAGGTGTTTGTCTTTGAGGTGCTATGGTAGCAATTGCAGTACCTGCCCTCCCCTCCTCAGAAATTACACCTCATGATTCAGGCCATCGTAAGTGACCCAGAAGGGTTCTTTCACCTTCCCTTTCACAATGTATTTTGAGCCTTTGTCTATACCTGCATGCCCTAAATATTTTCAGGCTCTTTTCCGCATTTGTGAAGTTTAATACTACTAAGCAATATGTGGTTCTTATACTGCACTTTTTTTTTTTTTTTTAACAGAAGCTAAGATTTTTATGTAGTTTTGTGATTCCAACAACTGGTTTAATTGTGTTATGACTAAATTTGGAAAAATTACCATTTGCCATCTAAGTAGGGTATATACAGAGAACGCACTGTAGTACACAGTACAGTATAGGGGCAGGGACTAGGCTAAGGTACAACCTAAAAAGAGGAGTGGACCCTTCTTCTTCTTTGCCTTCCTCCTTGAAAGTACAGAAAGGCCTTCCCCTTGCCCTAGCTGTTACAATAAGAGCAACAACTCCACAGAGGGGTTGTGGTCATAGATCCATACCATTAGAAATGAAAAGGAGCAACAAGCACCACCAGGACAGTTTTCTTATTCTTGATGTGCACACCTAAACATAGCAATAAAAAAGTCAAGAAGTACAAGACTGAAAAAGAAGGCATAACCATCTGCTGAACTGATATCCAAAAATCCCACGTTGAAACTAGTGTGAAATATAGCCTGTTTCTATGGTTCATTACCATTCATCATTTCAGCCAATGAAAATTTTATTTTCCCAGTGTTTTGTATTTTTCTCGTATGTGTTTGCAACCATTCGATTTATATTTGTTTGTAATTTCAAATATATAAAATGGCCCCAAAATCTTTTTTCTTCTCTCTAGCCATTCTGTTTTGGAACAGCCAACAACACCCAAGCAACAACAACAAAACAAATGAATAATTTTGGATGTAAGGTCTGTTTGCTTTGAAAAAGATCAGCATGTTGGTGCATCAAAATGTTGCCAGATCAGCTGTTTTTCTGCTTTCCAAGAGAGATGATTCTGAATTAGGAGGCTTGCAAAACAGACCAAAGGGAAGAATTTTGTCCAGGCTACTTCTGTTGCAGGTTCAGTTGTAATTACAGCGTTCAATTCTGCTCTAGGACAATGTAAATGACACCATTTCTTTTCTGTATCATATTTAATCAGGTCTTGTGATAGTTCACTGCATATCTGAGATCAAAAATGTCATTGATAAATCCAGGGGAACAAGACAGTGACTCACACATCCCATAGTTCAGATTAGGTAAAGGCGAAGGGGGCACTAAACAACAGAATAAAATATGCTTTAATGATTGACAACACTGCCACTATGGATTGTTCCTAAATAATCTAATTTGATTTACAAGAACTCAATGTAAATATAATCCATTTCTCAAGGAAGTGTCTTGTCATTTATAGTTTAGCATGAAATATGTGGCATGGGGAGAATGATTTTAATTCAGTAAGCTCATGTTTGTGCAGCAACAAAAGAATATGAAAATGTGCCTGAAACAGAGAGGCAGGGATGTACTGGGGGAGCTCTCAGCTTCCCACGGCAGGTCAGCTGGAAGGAGCGACTGGCATCTTCAGGTCTCCAGTGGGTCCCAGGTTGGGGTGTTTCAGAGATCCTCCTTCAAGCCTCAAGACTAAATTTTTTTTAATCTCTGTGAGGTAATGCTTTCTGATTTCAAATGTGCTAAATTACTTCACCCAGAGGTAACTTATAGAAATGCACCTCCAAGCTGAAGGGATGAATATACAGGCCAGCGATTGCTTGGGGGACATTACTCCAGAGAACTGATACTTTCAGGCTCCCATTTGGTGTAGTCATCCTGCCTGTCTATAGCTGTGCAAGTGAGGACTCGCTGGGCTGCACAGTCCATGACTGCCTGTATTTTCAGCCACAAATATGACCGAAACAAAGCCCACTTTTAGAAATGTGTTTGGCAAGCTGTGTTGCCTCCCTTCTTCAGCATGGGTAAATTTGTTAAAACAAGTTTAATCATGGGAAACTAGTGGATTTCTTAGTCCCTGACAACCCTTCTTTACAGGCAAACTCTCTTTTGCTTCTTGTGCTTTTTCAGAGACAAAAGGGAATCTTTATGAGAGAGCCTCATGACAAAGTACTGGCAGCAGAGCAATAGAAATAAAGCTGTAGTCCCATGATTATATTTTAATAGCTTTCTTTTTATTTTAAGATACTTAAACCTAATCCCCTAAGTTAGCCCAATCACAGTCTCCAACATAACCTTGTTTTCAGCTATTAGCAGGTGGTTTTTAAAGCCCTCTTTAGCTGATATGCGGGGCCCACATAGTGAAGTCAATTGTTAGACAGGATATAATTTAGACTTCAGCTCTTCCTCTCAGTTTGAAATAAAATGATTACATTTCAGGAGAGCCTAAGGGAAGATTAAAAGTTTTATATCAAAAGTTGAATATTTTCTTTTGTTGTACACTATTCTTTTAAAGAAAATGGTATTCATTTAAAATAATGCATGTTCTGATGTATTTGAAAAGGCACTACTCTGAATTAAAAAGAAATTCATAAAGTATGCATGTATGGGAGAGGAAGATTGCAATCATCATTTGAGCATTTAGTCAAAGGTTTTTAACTCAACCCATTCTGCTTTGTTCATAGAATGAGGTACCTGCAAAGATGCATTGTAAATAACAGATGGCCCATAGTGTTCACAGAGCAGTGGTTAAGGTGACAAAATCTTCTGGGGCTGCTCTCCACAGGCAGGTTATAAAGCGATATTATAGCCTCTGTTCCAGACTGGAAAATGGTCTTTGCCTGTCTTTAAACCTGTTAAAAGTGGTTCCAGGCAATAGCTCCACATAATTATAGTTCTGGTAACCCCTGTGATGCCTCTCATTCCTTGTATCCCAAAGTTATCCAAGGGCAGAGGCCACTTGTAAAATACAAAGTTGTAAAGCTGACATGGGTCTTAAAAATAGATGGAATAGCCCAGATATGAACAGAGTAAGAAGTGAAGAGTAAGATATGAACAACAGGATTAAGTTATCATCTGATAAGGTCAGCTAGCTTTTACCGTTGATATCAACGGGGCTGTTTTACCAAGGATGCCCTGGGCACATTTGTAAAAAAGCATTAACTATTAAAGGGAATTCCTGGAAACCTCCTAAAAGCAAATGTATATATGCAGTGAAGTCTCTTGTAGGAGTTCACCACATCAGCCAAATGAGCATAGATCTTCTTTTTCCAGAAGCCATCAGAAAAGTCTAAATATAACACTGCTGTAGTTAAGTAAGTAGCCTACTTTCATGCCTGTTAAAATGAAGAGTGCAAAAACTCTTACTGTTACTAAGGGGGGTCATCACTGAACTGGCAAGTTGAAGTTTTCTTGTGATTTTATCACAGAAGAAAAGTTAATTTCTTTCAGTATATTTTTCTGTAAAAAAACCCAAAACCCTCTTTTACCTGTTAGCACTAATGCATACTACTATCTTAAGGCAGCATTAACAACATCATTTTATATTCATTTGCCTAATATCAGTGGTGCTTGTTTTCACATGTGGACACCTGACCATGGGAACCTAGGTTAACACCACCTCATTAGCCTCCACACTGCCAATTAAATAGACAGACAATAATAAATATTGAGGTGGATTGAGGATTTAAGAAGGATGGGTGCTCATGGTACAGAACGGTCAAGGTCTGTGTTCAATTGATATTATCTCTTGCAAAGGAGGTGAATTGTTAATGTGCTGTTATTCCAGATTTCTAGAAGAACTGATGTGGTGGGGGAATTAAGACGACAATTAATGGCCACTGGGGAAGAAGACAGTTTATCATATCCTCCTCTGAATGTGACCACTGGAAATGATATATGCATCCTTTTTTACGCTAGTAATTTCAGCCTCAAAGCCAACAGTTCAGTTTTTATAGATTTGACAAATGCAACATTTGTAATGCAGAACGTGGATATTTCTTCCTCTGAGTGCTCAGACATCAACACAACGTGAGTAGCACAAGAAATTTCATATCATAATACATGTGATTCTGAAAACTAATCATAAATGGTGCAATGTCAAGTTAATACTAATTTAATTTTCTTCTTCTAAAGCAGCCAAAATAAAAAAAATACTATATTGGGTATTCTTCAAAGAACAAGATTGAGTCAAGACCACAAAAATTGTTCAGACGCAGCCTCTTATTTTCACAGTTTTTTTCCTCTTACATTCCTTACTTCCTTGTTTGTTTATATTTGGTCCAAACAGGTTTCCCTGAGCCCAGTCTCAGAATCACTGAAATCTCCACTGGCATTAATGAGATCATCATTGTAAAATTCCCTTGAAGGGGAGTATTGCCAGTTACTAGGTGGTAATTCAGCTGGAAGTACATTAATGAAACATGATCTCTGTTTTCCTTTACTTTGAAGCACCTGCTCTTGGGTAAAAAAACCTCTAGAAATATTTTGTCATATTTTTCTGTGTACTGAACCTTTGCTATATGACTTTTGTAATTGCCTATTGATTTAGAATATTCCCTCCGATTGAAATGTCACAATGATCTAATTAAAGCTGACTACTCTAACATTAAAAATCTGTTTCTTATTCTTAGACTGTCATTAAAATACACAAAGCCAGTGAATGGAATCAGCAGCCTAGAGATAAGGTAACTTATGATTTATTCTTAAATAAATCTTTGTGATGTACAAAGCCTGTTTGTAAATTAGAAGCAAAAAAAGAGGAGGAGTTAAGTGAAAATGTTTTTGAAATTACGATTTGCTTTCTGTTCTGAGGAGTTACTATGCAGGAGAACAGTAAACAGTCTTTATATAGAGAATATATTAATATGCTCAGGTAAAGTTCTGACAAAGTGGTGTAGGCAAACAACCATATTGTACGGTACTGATATATACAACATCCTGTTTTGCTACTAGGATCAGCCCATGATCCTGTCTCAGGGAAATCTAACTGTGATTTGTGAACAATTCTAGGGGCTGAAGTCTACTTGCATGGCCAGGGTTGTATTTAGTCCTAATGTGGACTACCACTGTACTCTGTCAGGGCTAGCTTGTGGCTAATCAGGGGTGCAAAACCCTGTAATTTTTCTGCTCCATGGATGGTGACAAGACCATATTTCTCCTACCATGAGAAGAGGGAAGAAAAGTTAGGGAATGGGAAGACTTGAGATGAAAAGTCAAAGGGAGAACTTGCAGCTGTTGCTCTCACTAGTGGATTCTAGGGATGGGGAAAGCATCTGCTACTGTTTGAAGGCTGCCATACAGCTGCTGGTCCACAAACCTCAGTTCTTTCCTCAGTAGCAGGAACAGCAGTTAAAATTCTTTTCTTAAGCTCTGGCAAAGATAATGTGGCCTGCTCTTTTCATTTAGGTACCTCAGTTAATTGCTTAAATTTATTTGGAAGGACTTGGGCCAGGGAACTTGCACTGAATTAAATTTGCATATATCAAGACAAACTGTATGTTTGCTTGGGCAGCAGAAGGACAAATTACATTTGCCATCTAAAATTCTTTTGACATCTTGTATAAGGGAAATGGAAATCCAAGGAAACCAAAGAGAGGAAGTTTAAAGTAATAATGTAGCAGACAGTCAGAGCTTGAACAACATTTTGGTAGGAGAGTAAAAGAGGCACATGGCACCAAGATAATAAGTATGAATGAATAAATACCATTATTTACACTGAGATAGAAGGACATTCTACATTTAGGTAAAAGGACCACCAGAAGGACTTGTGTTGAAGAGAGGCAGTGATGTGTTTGGAGTTGTTTTTGACATGCATAGAGACACTTGCAGTCATCATCAGAAACCATGATAGGTGGCAAAAAAACAAACATCCTTTGTTATTTAACATCTCCCCTCCCTCCCAAGCATCTAGAGTTTAGTGAAAGAACATAATGTACAGACAAGATTGCTGTTAGTATAGTATTTTTACTTTTTTTACTGTTGTAGTTAACTGAGTATAGGATCCTTGAGACTTGTCCTTGGTGATGGAGTAGAGCACTTCTTGGTTTCAATACTGTAAATTATCAAAGGGGCATGCATTTCCCTGAATACCACGTGGAATTAAGGAAATATTTTCCTTGGATCCCATTCAAAAAATATTGTTCTCAAACCAAGACTCTGCCTAAGTTGTGTCATTACTTTTACTTCAAGTCACAAAATATCACTTTCTCTGGTGCTGCCCTGGTGCTTCTCTGTCTACTGTCTCCCGTCTCACTCTTGTACAGACAGAACCACCAAAACCATACCCTGGATTCTCATTCTGCATCTTTGCTCATACTAGTGCAGGTCTTAGCTGCTCTCCTGTGATTTCTTTCTGTATAAAGAAATCTGGTTGTTTGCTACATTTGTCTGGAATGTGACCATCCTCAGCATAATACCATGCTTTCTAGTAAAATTACAGTTCCAAGAAAATAATATGAACCATAAAGCACTTGAAAATCTTATGGAGCATGACACTGTGCTGCAAAACTAGCTACCAAGTTAATTGATAGATCTTAGAGGGGTTCTTTTCTTCAAAGCAGTCAACAGGTTTTGCTCAACTACGCAACAGCAAATTGCAAACCTTAGGATGCTACTATAGAAACAAAATACTTTGGCAGCTGCAACATTTATCTTAGATTTTGATTGCTGCAGTAGGCATAAGAAGATCAAATGTGATGTTAGTGCACACATATGGACTTAATGAGGATTATTCAGATTTATGTTTAGTCATCTGTTTGTTAAGATCTTATAATTTTAATTAATTATTGGGAGAAAACTTTAATGTAGTCATGAATCTGAGGTGCATCTGAAAAGAAGAAATTTGAAGCAACTCTGCAGACAGACTGACTGTAAATTAAAGGAGAACATCAGTACAAAAGGTGAACAGTTCATGTTTTCTCTCTTATTCTGGAATATTTTTTTTTACATCCTTTGAGCGTGTTGTAGTACAGGCAGAAATACTCACAAAGTTTCTCTTGACCTCTGCTTGTACTTGAATACATTATAACTAAATACCAAAATGCATAAACAGCCCTTGAAGCTGGGAGAAGAAATTCAGGCTCCACAATAGGTGAGGACTTGAAAAGAGAGTAGGTGAAGTCCTGACCACAGTCATGCCCAGCGAGTAATTAAAATAGCGTAGACTGGCTGTGTTTTGCAGGAGAATTTGATTTATTCCGTTAGGATAGGTGTGATCCAGGTTTTTAATAGCCCGTCGGGGCATTTAGAGAACAAAATGCCTAAATTAATTATTTTTTATGTGTGACACAGGTGCTTGGCAATAAAAAATGCAATAGAGGAAGAAGGTGGGGAGTGGCTTCCAGAGTAGTCATTGCTTGGGCATTCACTGTGCATTGGCCTGCTTATGGGAGGTAGAGAGTGATTGCTTCTGTATTGCTTTTTTTTCCTCTTTCCTTCATTTATTAAGCTGTCTTTATCGCAACCCACAAGTTTCCTCATTTTTTTGCTTTCTATTCTCCCCTCTTTCCTGTTGGGGATGGGGAGTGAGCAAGCAGCTGCATGGGTGCTTGGCTGCTGGCTGGCATCAACCCACAACACCTCAGGAGCCTTTATAAAGAAAACGTTCTGCTAAAGATACACCTGGTTATTTGTGCTGTTTTCTGTTGAATTATCTCTTGATGTAAAAGAAAATTGTGTCATTTTAGCCCTCTATTAGCTACCATAATACAATATTGCACGGCATATAATGCAAATAATAAGATATACTCAACAGAATCAGAACAATCCATTGATCTTTTCATGATTCAGGAACACTTTATTCACTTTGTTTATCTCAGCATGTCTATTGTCAAGAGCTTCTAAAACCTACAGAGATACATTACAGCCTCTGTTTTCCCTTCTGGTTCACTTTGATTACATTTCTTGTTCAAGATGAGTCCTTGGTAAGATTACAGTCTGCCTCAATAAGCAGGACACAAGCAGGGCAAAGATGTGGGAAGGAACAGAGCTGAAAGCCATGACTGCATTTTTTTCCCCTGTAAAAGCCATTTACTTAGGTGTAGGAGAGCATCCCTTGAAGACAGAAAGTGACGCCAGAGAGGAGCACATTCAAATAGCTCAATTTATTTGTCAATAAAAGAGGCCCTAACTTCAGCAGCATGAACTGGATCCAAAGCCTGCCCTTACCACCACTAGTCTACCACCCACCTCGTGCTGAGCAGCTAGTCATATCCCACCTCCTACTAGCAGCTGCAATAGCTGCTTCATCCTATGCAAACAGCTGCCGTCTCCCTCTCCCTCTCTGTAGCAAGAGCAGCAGTCCCACTTCTCCTCCTGCCCTTGCCACTGAGAAGTGAGCTGTTAGGGAATGGTTGTAGAGTGTTTCTGGCTGTGCTAGTTTTAGAAGAGTGAACTACTGCTGCAACAGGGGTTGGAGCAGTGGGCAGTAGTTTTTGCTGGAAGAAGCATCATCTCGGCTCTCTCAGCAGGTGATGACATCCAGCTGTTCAAGCACCTGTCTGGCACCTTCTCTAGAAAAAGATGTCAAAATGAATGGAAGTTCATAGCATTCATATTTTCCTCACTTACATTGATAAGTACTTGACTGTTGCTTTTGCTCATAGCATGTATAGAATAGAATTGACCCAAGAACCATGTTTTAAAGTCTTTTACCTAACAGTTGTGTTTCTTTTTTAATCTTTGAAACAGTAGTAACTCCAGCTAGCTTCCTTTTCAGAAATATCTCTCCTTGTAATGAATAGCCACATGAGACAGTGATAGGTAATGGGTGGTGGCATTTAGAGTTCATATGGTTATTGGGCACAAAGGAAGTCTGGCCTATGACCAGGAATTGTTTGTGCCACAATACGTAAAGTCCGCGATGTCTGTGTGAAAGTTTGCTTCCTGTATTGGCCCTAACATTTAGTATGAACAGAGCATTTCCTATAAAAGCCAAGGTACTTTCAGTTCTGCAGATGAAATCTTTGTTACTTCTCCTCCCCTTGTCATTCATTTGCTATATTGTGCTCATTCTATTTGCTATCTACTCATCCAAGAAAATATTAAACTGAATTAAGTAATTCTACTGATTTTTATTGTTGGAATGTCTTTTTTGTAATTTAATGAATTATAGTTGTATCAGTTATCAGTTAAGTGCGTGCTTATTGGAGGCTATTCACTATCAGCTGTTTGGAAAAACCCTAAGGATAAAAGCCTGTATTATTAAGTTAACCATGCTCAACTAGTTCATTAATTAGAATCTTAATTCTCATAAATCTGCAAGTAACATAAAATTTTAGTCTTTGGTGCAACATGAAGAGACAGCATTCTCTTGGAGGTCACTTTAGACTATACTCACATACATAGCCTTGTGAAACTTGTTTGTTCATATGGTAAGTCTCCAAAGGATTTCCTTGTTTACCACTTTTCTTATCTTCTCAGCAAAAGTACAGAGCACACCCAGTATCTGTGGCTGGCACAAACATTTAAGCTTCTCTGTGCTTATAAACATTATATATATAATATTATATATTATATATATTATATAAACATTAAATTTCTCTGTGCTTATAATTGGCCTCCAGCTAGTGCTTATAGCATGAAACACCGCAGAAATTCTGTTCAGATTATGCTGTATTTCAGGAAAAGATTCCTTTCTTCTAGCAATTAATATCTAGGCTAATACATGTTTTAATTTCATAACTTTATCACTATAAGAATAGAATATTTTCCATAAATATTTGTGAATGTGTACCAGATGAAATTCAAATGTTTTTTTCTTTTTCACTGATCCTTGCAGCTGAATGTTGTATGGAAAGAGCTGTTTAGGCTAAAAATGTAAGGAATGCCATAAAACAAGACATCCTTTTCTCAGCTGAATGACACTCTGAGTTCTAGGATTCCTTCTGAGCATTTTGAAGCTCTTGAGGATTTTGAAGTTATATGAATCAAAAGCCACAGATTATTAAAAAAAAAAAAAAGCTCAATTACTGTAGTAACCTAACCTGTCAAATTTTGTGTGTTACACCTAAGGAGCATTGTTTGTGTTGAGTTTGGACTCTATGTTGTGTGGATGACATGCAATGGATGTTTGGATGGCATCCAAATCATCCAAAACAGGAAAGCAGCTGATTTGAACAAACAAGCAATATTCTACAACAGAGAATATTATCTATACATACATATACCCTATAGAACATAAAATTTTCTATGCAATGCCACATTTGTAGATGATTGCTTATTTTTCAAACCTGTCATAATTGCATCTAAGTATTACCCCTAATTTTAAAATCCACATAGAGTGTTACCCATTGTGGATAGACAGAATATTTCATTTTGTAGCAAGTCTCAATTATTGCTAAAAAGATTCCTCTTCTAAATTCTTTGTGGTTATCAATAAGCAAAAAAAAATCTTCAGGAAACTATATAGAGCAATACATACATAGACCAAGTAGGGTTAAAGTATTAAGCAACATACAATTAAAAAAAAAAAAAGCCTATCATTTCCTCATGAGATAACTTGAATACCTAAAAGTAACTGCGTAAAAAGTGATAAAGACTAGGACATGGTCCTGATCTGTAAAGGATCGGGATGTACTCCTGGATGTTATTTCTGTTTCAGAACATTTGGGAGGTGTTCAGACTGCAGTGGTAGTAACGTATATATAAATCCCATGATTATAAACCACTGGAATCTGCTGCAATACTGCACATACACGGACCTTTTCAAAATGAGAAAATATTTATTTGTGCCTAACTAATTGGGAAACTAGGGCTGATGACCCCTCCCCACCCTCCAGTGAGAGAAAACTCTGTCTTCTACTGCAAATTCAGACATTTGCAAAGGAAATTGCCATTTAGGCATCTGAGCCAAGGAAGAATTGCAATGATAAATCAGAATGGTTATCATGCCTGTACCTATCATAAAAGCAATTTTCAAAAAATCCCATAAAATGTTTATTGAGAGCCACCGCAGGCCTACTGACAGTCTCTCAGGTTCTGCTCTACTGATTATAAACTGTTGGTAACTGATGAAATACTGCACTGGCAGAGGCCCTTGAAGAATGAAATCACATTTGCTCCTTCCCTGCCACGACTATAGAAAGCTGTGCTTGTGAGATGAAACTCTAAGAAGTAGCAAAAACATATTCAGAGTCTCTTCACTTATGAACAATCCTAATGACATGGGAGGCCAAGCTAAGATACCAACTGTGGTGTTTTCAGCTAGCAATAGTGAACCTTTGTATGCCACCAGTACTTTATCAAATGAATATTAACTTTTTCTTTCTGTCATTTTGACTTTTTTTTCCCTCTGTTGTCTTTCTAGGTTTTTAATGACCAACAAGTTCTATGGAGGCTCGGCTAGAAATTGGTCCACTTTAGATTCAGTTGAGATTGTACAAGATGGAGAAAAGTTTGCTAAATTTAATGTTTCTGTCATCTCTGCTCCTGCAGAGTATTCATTTCATTGTCAGCTGGTGGGAACAAGCAATCTCTACCCTGCAATGCTGATTCCATCCAACAATGAGGCAAAAAACTGGGATGTTTTCATTTCCAGGTTGCAAGTGAGTACACATTGCCATTTCAGAGATAATTCCAAGAACTATTACTTGCTATTGTAGGTGCTAAATGACACACATTCATAATGCCCTTACTTTCATTTCAGCCTGAGGAAAAATGTAAAAGAAAAGCTGTTCCCCCTAGGTGAGCTATTCAATAAAAGGGTAAAAAAGACGGCAGTTGCTGAACAATAAGAACATGAAAGCACAGCTTTGAAAAACAAAAAAAACTATGAAGTTGTCCACAGAAAAGAAAAAACAATAAACCCAAATGCGCTTAATCAGGCAAAGAATGACTAAGTCCCCATGCCTGTTTAATGAATTGGGCTGCTATTGGAAACATGGGCCTCTTAGGTGGGTGGCTTTATGCTGCTTACTTTGTTTTTATCTTATTTCCTTGTGCTTTGTTTACCTAGGAAAGTACAGCTTAGCGTGGTTACTGTTTTCCATGACATAGGCTGTGTGTACTCCTGCAGACAGAAATAAAGCTCAATGCAATTAGATTTAATGGAAGGCTTGCCATGGACTTCAATCGCAAGCAATACTAAGTCCTACGTGGCCCAGAAGGAAAGCAGCTGACTTTTTTTTTTTGAATGAGGCATAGATTTTTGTGTATTTAGTGCAGTAGTACAGACTACGTATGTATGTGAGGTGTAGATGATTGCATCTTTATTATTTTGAGCACTGATCTTGACTTAGGATAAGTCATCATTCATATCTTAAAACAATATTGCACTAAGGGATCTCTTTGATTAAAGAGGTCATGGAAATGATAGGAATAATTCCAAACTGGACTCTATTTGTCAAAGATGAGCTAACCCCATGATAACTGGATACAAATGCTGATATAATTGTATTTATGATTTTGATAATGAACCAAATCTCAATTATCTGAGTCCAGTTTTGACATTTCTGTTTAAACAGTGGAAATCTCAAAGGAACAGCGTTGGTGCTAAGATTTATTTACCACAAATTCCAGGATCAAGTTCCACAGTTTTTTGAGAAGCAACATAGCAATACACACCAATGTTGTGAAGGTTCCTCCTGATGGTATTTTTTATGGAAAGGCCTGAAAATATCTGAGTCCACACCACTGTGCTTTGCCTAGTCACTCTTTGAAGTTAAACCTCAGCACCACTAGGCTATGAAAGTACATGGGCTATGAAAATACCAAGTGTCCACTTACAACACATCTTTTCCTTGAATTTCTATGTATGTTGGTACTGCCGCCTTCTCAAAGCTTAGAGAGAGGTCTTGCTCCACCCTTAGTAGGCATCCTTTCATTGGGGTCTTGATCAAGAGTAGAAGTAGTAGGTTTCCTACCTTCCTTATTGATTTGGAGCACCAGCTGCTTCCACTGTTCAGACAACAGATCTTCCAGTTCCTCTTGGGAAAGACCTTTTTCTCTGGTCAAGTCCTAAGCACGGAACACAACCTGAAAAGTCCTGTTCTGATCTTTTCTGTCAGAAAGTGACCATTCTGGACTCGATTCTATCTGAACTAGATCATACCTTTCCAGATTTCTTCCACTGATAATGTAGTGAAATCTGATTGATCTCAATATCAGTCTTTGTTCTAGAATGAGGTTTAGAAACCCCCAAGCTCTGTTGCACGGTGAAGAAGGCACATGGGATGTGCTCAGTGGTTGCAGCCAGCACAAAATCTTGTTGCTGAAGCTAAAGAACATGATTTTCATGTCAATGTTATGCAATGAATTAGAAACCTGGATTTGATGCCAGTCTAGCTGGTACAATTGCACGTTGCAATGTTGGGTCTTGAAAACAGTATCACTGTATTAGAGGGACACAGCACCTGCACAGTGAAGCCCTGCATAGCTTGTTCCAAGGCAAGGCTGAACTGATCATAGAATCATTTAGGTTGGAAAAGACCTTTAAGATCATCAAACCCACTGTTAACCTAGCACTGCCAAGTCCACCCTAAGCACCACATCTACCCGTCTTTTAAATACCTCCAGGGATGGGGACTCAACCACTTTCCTGGGCAGCCTGTTCCAGTGCCTGACAACTCTTTCAGTGAAGAAATTTTTCCTAATATCCAATGTAAACCTCCCCTGACGTAATTTGAGGCCATTTCCTCTAGTCCTATCACTTGTGCAGCCTTTTACTTGAGTTCTGGAGCTGGCTCAGTCACTACCACCTAAAGAACCTCTGTGGGATGCTGTCTGGGCGTGCCCATAGCCTAGGATGTCACCACTCATAGCTGTTCACAGTACCGAAACTGCTCTGCTTTTGGTGGGGTTTCTGTTGATTTTGTTGTTGTTGTTACAGGAATGAGTGTTCTACCATGATATCTTTTATCCTTTTGAGGATCTCAGAACTGTCTATGAAGTTAAAGAGGAGGCTACCACCAAAAGCACTGTTTTTCTTTAGTATGTGTCATAGTGGTTTATAAACCCCTTTGTTCCTAAGAAAAACTGTCATAAGCTTTAAAATCAAGAATATTAGGATTCTTTGTGGCTAAAATATTTCTAAGTGCAAAAATTACATGCTCAGTGTACACTTAAGAGCCATCAAAACAACAGATTTTACTTGAAGGCTTTGTCAAAGGTCAAATGATGAGAAATCCCCATTCAAAAATATTTTTAAAAATTAACAGTAAATGCAGATTAGTGTAACCAAGACAGATTATGCTGGTCCAAACACTAAAATTAAAACTTCCACAGTACAGAGACCTGTATCCAAAAGGCTTTTACATTCATAAAAATTAGAGAACCACATGTAAGTATTTTTAACTTTTCTACAGGTAGAAATGCTGCTAGGAGTTACATTTTTATCTCCCACCTGGGATCTAACACCCCCACGGAAATTATAAAGCTTCAGAAAAACAATAAAAGAAGCCTGCATATACTTTGTCTCCCGCCTAAAAGTAGACATAGCGTTTTAAGAACATACAATTAAAGCTTTCACCTTGAAGGTTCAATAAGCATAATCCTGCCTCAAAAAAAACCCAGTAGGATTGACATAATAAAGTTCAGTATTTCTGGCTCTAAATCAGAAGTTGTAAAGACTTTCTAAACCAAATATACCTGTTAAGTGCTTCAGAGAGTTCTTGTAAATGTGGTAGCAAGTGTGTGTTGTTTTCTAGAATTTCAATCCATTTTTTGAACATAAATGTTATAAATCATCACCTGCTTTCTGTTTTCATTGTAAATAAGTGTTTCAGACTACATTTCAAGTACTCCTATTCACATTCTTATCTGTTGTCAAAGCAGTGGCTTAACAAGCAAAGGCTTTGATAATCACCTGTATTCTCTAAAACTGTGCAAAGTTATCCAACCCAAAAGCTTAATTTTGCTAATCCTGCTTTAATCAGAAGTCTGACTGCCTATAGTGAAAGCAGGCAGTATCTGCAAGTTAGCTACCATGATCTGACTTGGAAAGATTCTTCTAAGAGGCCCAGAAAAGCATGAATTGCTAAAATTGTCTTTACTTCCACAATACCTAAATAGCCCTTAGTTCTGCATATGATAATAGCTTTATTAATCAGCATTCTGGAAGGCATAGGCGTTGGTCTTTAACACACGTTACATACACACTAACTTTAGGTGCCTGAGCCATGAATGAACTCAAACCCAGAGTGCTTACTGGTGTAGCATAGTATACAAGCCACAGACTAATTTCTTCAGTGTTTGTACCAACACCTTTCCTAGGAAATACAAACTCTTTTATTACCACAAAGCTTTACATTTAGTTTATCATAAAGCATAGAGTAATCATGGAGTGGGAACACAGAAAAGTAGAAATCCATGATCTTCTGCTTCCTTGCTTATTGCCTGGTGAGGGAAGTGATTTAAATAAAATAATCCTTTTTTATTTTATTCTATAATATTTTATAGAACATATACAGTTTTAAGGTCTTGTTTCTTTACTGGTGGATTTATGATGTTTGGTGCTTTCCTTATACAGCCATTTCAAATATGTAAGAATCCCAGTCTTCATTTTTCTTTGTAAAATTATTTAAGAAAGACTCAAAACCACAGATCAGATTAGTTCTTTCCTTGCTTCATTTTCTTCCACTAGTTGGATTCCCTTGCTTCTGAAGGAATCAGTGCTTATGCCATTATGTGCATGTGTATAGAGGGGGGAATGTATTCCCTTTCTTCATAGTTTTCTAATACTATGACTGGTTTTAACAAAATTTTTAGAAGGATAGTGGTCTCAAAGGCATTCAGTTTGTTGATACTTTTTGCAAAATTGGTGGCTAGGCAGAGAATAGATCCCCAAATTAGTTGATTTTTCTGAGGAAAATAATATGGCAGGAGTTCAGTCAGTGGCAGACCTTGAGAATTCAGTCAAAGGAGAGATATTACAGATTTTTCTAACTGTTGGAAAAGCTTGTATGGGTTTCATATGTTAATAGGCAACACAGATCCCCACCTCAATAAGGCAAGCCCTCTCTCCTGTGTTGAGTCTCTGATGTATAAGGAGGGGGGAAGAAAGCTTTCACAACTGTTTTCTCCTTGAACTTTCACTAAAACTCAGCCAAAAAGGTCACCTTCATTAGATGCATTTTAAAGTAGGTTTCAGGAGTTCTGCTTGTCAAGGAGCCGTTAGCTAAAAATCTCAGCGTATTTCAACAAATCTTATGATCTGGGAGGCTTTAACTCTCATGCCTTTGGGTGATTTGAGTTTCCCGATTCTAAAGTGGTCATTGAGCAATACTGATCACACATACCCTTTGGGACTTTATTTCTAAATGTAACACAAATTTCTGAAGTGGGAACCACAGCCTCCCTCTTGCCAAACAAATGACTTCTCCATCTTTAATTTCCTGGGTGGAAAGGAGACCTGGAAAATTGTTATGCAGAGGATTTGGTTCCCACTCTTTTTTAATGGGCAGAGTGGGTGGTAATTAACAGGTGCGTTTTTTGTGATTACCACATATATCCTGAAAGTAGGGCCTACACTCCACATTTAATTGCACTCATCTATCTACTTTTCCTCATTCACAGATTCAAGGCTTCAACATTGAAAATGACCAGTTTTCCTATGCAAGTGACTGTACAGGCTTCTTCATTCCTGGCATCTGGATGGGTTTGGTGACATCTGTAGTTTTACTGTGGATCCTGGCCTATGGAATCCATATGATCATGCAGCTCACAACAAACAGCAGATTTGATGATCCCAAAGGTCCAGCTCTGTCAGTTCCTCAGACAGAATAGCCATGGATTGATTTAATGCTGCTACAGCTTTTCCTGGTCTGATATTTATGATTTTTATAACCTTTCTACTTCATAAAATGTTTAACCTAAAAAAATATCATAGCAGAAAGGGATAATTAAACTACATATAAAAAGGATCCTTATGCTTGGCAACAGTAATAATTCTACTTATTACCATCATTTGTTAATAGCTATTTGCCCTAAGAGTCTGAGGTGAGGCTGTAGAGGTTATTACTTTATTTGGCTATTAGAAAGACCAGTACAAACTGCCTTCAGATTAACTATTATTGGCAAAAAAAGGATATCACAACAGAGATAAATGGGAAGGATTTATAAGTAACTTATTCAGCAAGAAACTATATATTGAAACTACTAGTCTCTTTAAAGTATCTTTAGTAGGCAAGGCATGTTGATGCATCTTAAGAAGGCTGAACTGTATTTTTTCTCTTGAGAAAACAATGCAGAAATGTACAGAACTAATAAGGTATAAGTCACTAAATAAATGGTCTTGAAAAATCTTTTCAAAATACATCACTTTGTTCAGATGTGGTATCACAAATGAGAATGGATGGATTAACGTTTATCTTCCCTCTGATGTCAGCTTATGCCTGTGAGAATTATGTTGAGTAATGCTAACTCATGTGTTTGTTTTCGCCATGGAGAGCTGATGGGAGTTACTAAGCAAGATAGGTCCTTGTCCAAACTAATCACAAAATTGTATTTGGTGTCATGGCAATGAATGCAGCTTTTCAAGCTCATAACCTAGTGTGATTCAATGTGCCAGTGCAGACAGCATCTTAATAGAGAGAAGGTAATTTTCTCAGCATCCCTCCTTTTCAGGTATCTTTGGAGTATTCAAGAAGTTTGTACAAAAAAGGAAAAAAAAATTATATAAAGTCATTAGAAGCACTGTGCTAATGTACTGATTAAGTCTGAGCATATTTATGGTCATCTCAGTGATTCCAGGAGCCTGAAAACATTCAGAGTGTCCTGGATTCTTTTGCAATTAATAAAAGACTCTACATCTTTTCATTGGGCAATCTGACTATGCAGTGAATTACTAAATGTTATGAAAAGCTAGGAAATAGTATAAGAGCAATGGTAAATTGGTAAAAAAAGGTAAAAATAACATTTTAATTCTCTCTTCTGTAATTTTTTTTATGAGTGTGCATTAGTAGTTAAAGAACCAAAAGATATTGTTTTGACAAAATTACATTTGTCACATGAGAAAAATTCTAACTTTTCTGATCTTGATCCATGTCATATGACAATGATACAGAGGAAAGACAGTTAGAATCAACAATTTAAGTAGACCAACAATAGTTTCTACCCATCATTCCTGGAAGTCACATTTTTATTATGCAGTCAAAGAGGTAAGTTAAATGCTGTCTGAAGCTATTCCTCCTGAATCATTCAGTCCTGACCCGGAAAACAAAAAGCAAGCTGGCCTGTAACTAGCAGAGGTGACTTCTCTGCTGTAATATCTTTCCCAAATGTTTTTCAAAACCTCAAAGAATGTTGGCATTTGATCTACACAAAAAAGCTGTGTTAGAAAGGTACATTTTCTTTGCAAAAATTAGTTGCCAGGAAAGACAACCTGACTTGTTTTATTAATTCCCCCTTCAAAGCAAGTTACATGAATATGACATTGAAAATTGACATAATAGTCATGTAACTGATAGCTAGAAGAGAGGAAGGCTATTACAAAGGGCTTGGTTTGTAGAAGACAGCTTTCTTATGACTTTTATTTAGAGTCAACAAAATTTGGAACAGTTTTTGTTCAACAGTGATGATATACAGGAACCAACAAAAAGCTTTACAAGGCCACCCAGCTCAGGATCTTATCTCAGCAGTGGTATGAGTACGGCAAGCATGTGGTAGTACTTCCTGCAGATGTTCCACCAGTCTCCACCATTTAAGCTCAGGGACTTCCTCAGCCTCAGAGGTGGTGTCTTTGTATTTAATAACTCTGGGTGTAGTTATAGTCCATTCATTTTTCCAGCCTCCCCTTGAGCCTGTGGACTCTCCTAGAGCTCACAGTGTCCTGATTGTAGTGTGGTACTGGGGATACCTGTACCCTCCCTTGCTTGTTTGGGCTGGACTCTGGAGAAGAGGAGGAGGAAACAGAGACTCGTATCAGCTGTACCATGGTGAAGAGATAAGGCTCTTTCAGAAGAGATCAAGCTGGAACAGATGTTGGAAGAGATGTTTATTGGATGAGCTTTTTGCTGATGCAGTAAAACCGAAGCCCTTAGGAAAGGGCCAGACTGAACTGTCCGCTGTGTTTGATATTACATATTCCAGGGTGAAGGGGAAGGCATTTTTGGAGGAGAAAAGCTTTTTCCTTCTACCTTCTCTCACAACAATACCATGAATACAGACAAATAGGCCTGTAGGGGCATATACTCTGTTTCTATAGTGAGTTGGGACATCCCTGTGATGGAAATCTCAAGCCATGTGTTGTAGCCCTTGATGTGGCAGGGTTATCCTGGTGAAGTCTGCACTGGGTATATTGGGTTTGCGTGGCAAGGTTTTGGTAGCAGGGAGGGTGACAGGTGGCTTCTGTGAGAAGCTGCTAGAAGCATTTCCTACGTCCAATAGAGCCAATGCCAGCTGGCTCCAAGACGGACCCGCTGCTGGCCAAGGCCAAGCCCATCAGCAATGGGGGTAGCACCTCTGTGATAACATATTTAAGAAGGGAAAAAAGTTACTGCACAGCAGCAATTGCAGCTGGGAGAGAGGAGTGAGAATATGTGAGAAACAACTCTGCAGACACCCAGGTCAGTGAAGAAGGAGGGGGAGGAGGTGCTCCAGGCGCCAGAGCAAAGATTCCCCTGCAGCCCGTGCTGAAGACCATGGTGAGGCAGGCTGTCTCCCTGCAGCCCATGGAGGTTAACAGTGGAGCAAATACTCACCTGCAGCCTATGGAGGACCCCACGCCAGAGCAGGTAGATGCCCGAAGGAGGCTGTGACGCTGTGGGAAACCCGCGCTGGAGCAGGTTTGCTGGCACAACCTGTGACCCTGTGGGGGACCCACGCTGGAGCAGTCTGTTCCTGAAGGACTGCACCCCATGGAAGGGACCCACGTTGGAGCAGTTTGTGAAGAACTGCAGCCTGTGTGAAGGACTCACGATGGAGAAGTTCATGGAGGACTGTCTCCCGGGGGAGGGACCCCATGCTGGAGCAGGGGAAGAGTGTGAGGAGTCCTCCCCCTGAGGAGGAAGGAGCGGCAGAGATGTGTAAGTAAATTAATTTCCCCAACTTGAGTCTGTTTTGCCTGTGACAGTAATTGGTAAGTGCTCTCTCCCTGTCCTTATCTTGACCCATGAGCCTTTTGTTATATTTTCTCTCCTCTGTCCAGCTGAGGAGGGAGAGTGATAGAGTAGCTTTTGTGGGCACCTTGTGTCCATCCAGGGTCAACTCACCACACTGGGAAAAACAGCAGAAAAGGAAGGGAACTACCCACAGCCCCAGCTGTCTTGGAGGCCAGGTGGACTGGGCTCTGGGGAGAATGGCCAGTCCCTGTTAGAAGAGGATCAACTGCTCTTTGTCCACATATAGTGGGTTGACCCTGGCTGGCTGTCAGATGCCTACCCAGCCCCTCTGGCCTCTTCTTACAGAGGCCACCCTTACTGCCAACACCTGAACATGGACACTCAATACACCACATCAGGGGGGCATGTGTGCTGCTGGAGTCCCCATGACATCTCAGACCCCTGCAGCTGCACATCATGGTGCCCTGTGGTTGGAGACAAAGACAACTGATTACTGATTTCAGCAGGGCTGGATGCTTTCCTTTTAGATAGGGCTGGGCCTCAAGAAATTCTAGCGGGATTTTGCACCTGCCTGTGTTTGTTTACCTTGCTGAATAAAGTTAGAAACCTGTCAGGGGCCTTCCAGTTCTGTGTACTTCTGATTTCACAATTCAGCTTAATCACAGGTGTACTTGTTAAAACATGCCTGCTTTGGCAGCCAGAATATTCACTTTGTTTGGAAGCTGTGAGCATTCAGGACTTTCCCCAGAGCTCACTGAAGTTATCAGAAGTACTGACTTCTGTGAGTGCTAGCTCATTTCTCTACAAATTACAAAAAAATTAATAAAGATGGAGGGGATGAAGGAAAAGAGCATCAGTTAGAAAAGTAGAAGTTGGGGTTTTTTTGCGTTCAAATGTATAAAGAAATGAAGCTTTATCAAGAAAAAATATCAGAAACTATCAAAAAACTATGGCACAACAGAGAAAACCCAAATGTAAACACAAAAGTCCTGAAGCCATACGCTAAGGTATTTCTTCACAAAATTCAGCAATGGTCATTTGTTGGAGGGGAGAGCTGAGACGGAACTAGAATTTGAACCTCCTGACCTGATACCGGAGGTATTGCTTTGTGTCCTGGTCTGTTGGTTTCTCTGCTTGTAAAATCACTTATCTCACAAATCATGTGGAAACCTGGCAATAACTTATAATGAAACAGAATTATGATAGAAATAGTCCAAGAGTATGTAGGCAGTGAAGGAAGAGAAGTCATTCCATCTGTCAAGGGAAGATTCAATGAAGTAATTGGCTCCTCCTTTCCTTCTGGGTGTCTGAAAAATAATGAATATGCAAATCTAAATCAACTGAATTATTAGGCAGCGTCGAAGCATTAGAGGGCTCCATAATTATTTCAGCATAAGCTGGGGTCAAGCAGGGGAAACCAGAGGTGCCGAAAACAAGGAATGACCATGACACGCTAACTCCTAAGATACAAGAGATATAAGAGGAAGACGGAATGTTGGATACTGGTCACTGCTGGCAAAAACCTAGCAGTAGTCTCAGCAGGTGGTGATGATTGTGGGGGCAAGTGTAGTGATAATCTTATCCTTGCATTGAACAAGAGGATGCGACAACCTACACAAGGTGGGCAGGGACTCCTTTTCCTGCAGGCTGTTTTTTCTGTTCCATCTTGTGATGGGTTGACCTTGGCTGACTGGCAGACGCCCACTCAGCTGCTCTCTCACTCCTACTCCTCCTCCTCCTCAACAGGACAGGGCGGAAGAATAAGATGGAAAAGCTTGTAGGTCAAGGTAAAGAAAGGGACACCACTCAGCAGTCACCGTCATGGGCAAAACAGACTTATGGAAGATTAATTTATTGCCAGTTAAAATAGGTTGGATAGTGAGAAACAAGCACAAAATTAAAACAACGCCTTCAGTCTGCTCAAATGCCAAAAAATCCTGTGGTGTCTAATATCTTCCAGTAAAGGAATCTGATCTTCTTCAGTTTGCTAATAAAGGTCCTGCTCTCAGATTGGTCCATTCTCTATCAAAATTTAATGCAAAATCAAGGAGAAAAGAGCTGTTTCTTCAGAGCTCAGATTTAT